CAAAAAGTATAGGAAGGGTAAGCAAATCACATTTGTACTTAATTTATTTTACCAGGTAAGACCCACTGAGCTATTAGCTTCTTTTTCAAAAACGACTTGGCCACAAATGATAGCTCAACGAAACGGCTTATCCCGTGGACATTTGAAGCTGCCAAATCATTTCAATAATATTAACACCAACGTTGCACTGCTCCTGTGCGCTAAATCTGTATCACTTTTCCCTCTCTATCTACCTTCCTCAAGGCGGGACCCACACATTTGACTAGAAGTGCCCTTGATGTCATCTGTGAATGTGCTGCGACCATTCGTGACATTGTAGAATGATGGATTTTCTGATATAATAGGCAATCGCAGCGGCTTTTGGCTAACCATCAAACAAATACGGCCACTGCAATGCGCGCTTTCGGATGCGCTTATGCGGCTATCTGGAACGCTCTTTCTTACGATATTAGGAAGTTACTGGAGCTATGCACTTTTAAATCTTGATTGAAAACGAATTTCTTTAGAACTGCTTTTTGTGTTTAGTTTGTTGGTCTTACCCTGCGCCTCCGATTAGCACGGTTGGCTATGTATGGAGTGAAAGAAGTTCAACATAATACAATGCATTTCAAATAAGGGGAGTGGTGGCACAGTGGTTACCACCGCACTATGTGTGTTTGAGTGATATTAATTGACTGTGTCGGATAAAGGAGGATTTACGATATACATTTTTAAACGACCTAACCAAAAAAACCCAATTGTGAATGATAATATTGCTCATGAAAGCCTATGCATAAAGGATACACGTATACAGCATACATGAATGTGCATTCAAATTTTACATTATCTACCAGTGTGTGGTATTTCCATGGGGTCATTTAAAAGTCCAATACGGAAGTGAGATTAGCCTGGGATGCAGTACAGTGAAATTGGTTCAAAAGCAAACTTACTTTGCTATGTATTAGGCCCAGTGCAATAGTCTAATAAAGGTAGTATAGAAAAATTACGCTCGCTTAATCTCTTGGTGCCCAAAGAAAAAGCTAAATTGGAAACAGGGATAAAAACTGAACTAATGAATCCTGGCGAGATTAGTTGTGACTTATGAGCTACTTAGTGGAGCTTTGTTTTTGAACACTGGATGCATTCATTGCAAAAGGATTCACCATTCATCCCTTAATTAATTGGCACACAACGAGAGCCCCGACGCTCAGAAGGGAAACAATAAAACTGCTGACTTGCCAGCATGCCATAAACCAAATATAGCTCCAGCACGTGAGTAATAATGTTACACTAACCTCTAGCATTGCAAGCAATGCGCTGACTTTGCCTGTCCATTGATTTCTTAAGCATTCAAGTGCACCTTCATAATGACTCTGGACATTGGTGAAGGATTTTCTCTGGGCTATTAAAAGAACATTGCACTTTAAAACGTGTCCATGCAGTAGAAGCTGAATCTAAGCACAGCTTCTCTAAGGGGCTCTGCGGTGGCGAGATGTTAACTACCTCACCTGGTTTACAGGAGGTCATGGGTTTGATCCCAACCCTGACGCCTGCTGCTGTATATTTGAAGTTTGCATGTTCCTCCCGTGATCGCGGAGATTTTTCTCCAGGTCCTCTGGTTTGTTTCCGCCACATTTAGAACCATGCGTTGAGAGTATTTAGTTGCTAAATTTGTGGATAACTCCTTGTATATGAGAATAGGTTTTGCAAGGAATCATAATCTGCAATAACCACATATAATGGCAAGGGAGGTCCCCTGATGTAGCTGTTCACCCCGAACTCTCAATGTCCTGATAGTGGCATTGTCTTTGTGCTGTGCGCCTTTTGGCTTCCTCTGGTCTAACGCTGTTTGAGACTTGGCTCTAAAGAAAGCTGTCTCTGGTGTGGGCCAATCAGTTTCAAAGACAATGCATAAACTGTACTAACAGAGCATGTTGTTTGTTTGTATATTCACCACAAGTATATGAGGTTAATGAAGACATGATTCCTTGCAAAAGGTTTCAGTTTGGTGTTTTAACATCTTAACACAACTGTTTTATTGCCAGAAAGGGTAAAACCTGTTATTATATTTTGATACTGGCAAGGGAGGTCACATGATGTAACTCTGTGTATAATATTATCCGTGATCTGGTCCCCCATATCGTATACTGGTGGAAAGAAGCTAATGATATATTGGATAGAAGGGCACTTTGAATATAAGCACAGATGGTCTTGCCCTTCAACGTTTGTGCTTAAATCACACCTTTTCCGAATAATACAGTATCCCAATTTACCCTTAATTAAGGCACTTTGGACTTGTTGTGATAAACTAATGCACAACGATGGCATTTCAAAACCAAGTTGAACGTGAGGGCAACGTGACCTTTCGTGGTGGTGGTTGTTTTCTTAAAACTTCGGTCATAACACCCGCTAATACTGGAACTCTGTTGATACCATCAGCGAAAATTGTCGGCTCTAACAAGATCTGCCCGTGCTGTGTGCAGAAGCAAAATCATCACAATGTACCCTGACCATTCTTTACGTGCTATCCGGTGTCAACAGCACACGCTATTAGGAAGGTGACTGTCAGATGCACAAGCCACTGTTAATTTGAGACTCATGAGGATATGTCTTTGCGCTAGTCACAGTGATGCCGCCGCATTATTGGCTCCTAAATACCCCCCTCCGAGTTTAATGGAATTTCTTTGTCATTTTCTCATAAAGTAGAAGTTTGGATTCAGAGTTTTACTGCTTCTTTCTCTTCACCTCATTCATTATAACGAGGTTGTTCTATTCAGCATTACTTCTGCTGTTGCAAATATAAAGCAGCAGCAGCAGCAGCAAGGGTTCACAAAGGTCAACGTTTTGCGCACACACAAGTGCCGGTTAGTGAGTCCGCGTTAAGACTCCTTGCGCAAGATGCCGCCAGTTATTGCTGTTGTGTTTCCGCGTGTCAGGCTGTTTACGCCAATTCAAAGCCCAGGACACCGCAAAGGTCAAGCGAGCATTAGCCAGTCAGCGACCGAGCCCCGCTGCATCGCCTTAACCTTTCCGCACGGGTCGCGGGGACCCTGGCTGCAGCGTGTCCGCCCACGCATTCACGCGCGCGTTTCTCCCGCCCTTCTACCCTTGATAAGAGATCTGAAATGTTTGGCCGTTTTTTGGCCTCTTGCACCTGCAGCGGCGGGTGATGAATGAATGGCTGGGCGAAACACGGTGCAGAGTTCGCCTTGGATTGCTGACAGCAGCACCGAGCGTGCGACATGTGCGCACGTACCGCTTGATTTACAGAAATCGGGAGTAACGAGACCCTTTTAACGGCGGAGTGCTGAAATACGGCGTTAACGCGGGGCCCCATTAAGTCGCACATCAATTAGCACGTCAAGTGGCACATCAAGCGCGGTAACCAGATGAGCTGTGCTTCGCATTAAGCGGAGAGGGCGACTTAAAACGCATTTAATGATGGGACGGTTGAACTTGATATAACCGCCGTCAGGCTGAACGAATTATGCCGCCCCAGTGAAATTCATCACAAATAGAGTCGTTCGGACGTGCTGATTAAATTCTACTATGCTCCGGTTTGATGGCTAATAAAATGCTATATATATGCCATTAATTTGCGTTACGTCACACATATTCGGCCCCTATTTGAGGACACGTTAACTTGTTATTCGACCACCGGCTTGCTCCTGCATGTCTCTCTCTCTCTTCCTCTGGCCCCACCAGAACTTCTGATCGGTTAACTGGCGTTGACCTATCAGCACGGTGGCTTGTGACTTTAACCACACGAGGAGTTGGTGATGCACAAGCACAATGAACAATAATTCAACACATTTGTCAATAACACTATGGTGGGCGGGAGGGGGGGGGGGCTTAAAAGGACATATCATAAGCAACGTTTTGGGAAATGGCCCTTCTTCATAGCAATAAGGTGCCACATCTCGAAATGTCTCCTAATAAATAGTGTGTGTTTTTCCATGGCCAGCGTGTTATTCTCGAGTTTTTTCACTCACTGGATTGTGAGGCTGGGATGAGGTTATGCCAATGGGTGTTATAGTTGAGGGTGCAATGTACTTGCTCATATATAGTCAGTAAATCCTTGAGACTTTTAGCAATGACTTAAGCTTAAATTGGTATCTCATTTATAGTAGCTTATCCAAGTTTAGGAACAGACAATGCTCTCTGTGCTGTGGTTTGTTGAATAAAGTCAAATTTGTGGTGTGATTTGGCATTATTTTTCCTTCGAAAATGTTCTTCTGTATCACGAACAGCAAGAGAAAAATAACAACGCCTTTAAAATAGTTTCACTCAGATTAAAAAAAGGTAAATATATCAACATTAATTTGGTAGACGCTCCAACTCCGGCAGCCTGCACGCTATTGGTTGCCAAGTTAGGCTGAAACAGAGTGTAGTGCAGCAGTGGAATTAAGCAGTCTTCACTTTAAATATCCGACGAATACAACATTCTGTTCAGTGTCTCAGCACTTTAGTCCATGGGCCAGAGAGCAGAAATCGCTACCACCTAATGAAGCAAAACGTTCGTCGGACCGATTTATGCAAATGAGGATAATGAGAGTCCATTTTTTTTAACTCACTCGTATCAAATTGTTATCGCGTAACACAATGTCACTGACCACGTAAAGAAATCGTAACCACCGAAGTTATGCCACCGTCGCGTAGTGCCGACAAATCAAATGTCTGACACCCATGAACCAAATATCTGCTGTTGGTTCATGGGTGACCTGTGTCACCCTCACCTTGAATCTCTGCTCCAACCCTCTCAATCGCTTGTGCACCATTCAATAAACCTCATGCTCCGACACGACTCTATCCTTTTATGCTTGATTAGTCATTTAATTGATGGCTGTATCAGTGTGTGGGAATAAGTTTTCGAGGTCAGTGAGCTGGGAGTGACGGTGTTGCATCTTTGTGCCCGCATTGCTTTATTATTTAGCCCGTTGTATAAAAGTAAGCTTTTGAATGAATCGCTCAAGCAGCAGTTGCTAACGCTGTGGTTTTTTTTGGTTTTTAATTCATTGCAGGGAAAAGCGAAGACAATACCTTCGCTCAATCCAAATACTCTGTTGCCAGGTAAGACATTGAATTGACCGTTTTCATTTAATTTTGCTTTAAATTAGTCGTAATGCTGAAACTCCAATCCGTTTGAATGAAGAATGTAAATCCGCTGGTTGTAAAACCCCCCATGAACAATGACAAGCAGTGCAATAAGCAGAGCTAATCCTCATTCAAAATACATTAAAGTTCATATAAAACATATTAAAAAAAGCTTCATTAAACGCATCGCCACTGCTGATTGACCGTAATGAGCGTACGATTTCACTATAAAACACACGCAAAAAGACATTTGCCTCAAAATTAACATTGCCGAATGGAATAAAAAAAAATGCATGCCACATGCCGGAGGCTTTTGCATGTTTCGGGATATTTACGAACCCTGTTGGAGTTTTGGTGTCTTATGTAATTCGCTTGCTCTTTCAAATTAAAGTTTGCCTCTTCTGTTTCCCTACACTGTCTCAGATATCTATAAACGCCGGCGCTTCTCACTCTAGACGCTTCTCTCGAGCTTTTGAGTTTTCCTCATTAGTCTCCGTTAATCCCCCCCCACCCCCCTTGCCTCTTGGTTGCGAGAGTATTTCATTTATCGAGTTCATATGCGATCAGTCAATGCCTTATCGAGGTGATGAGACAATGAGTGTTTTTTTGTGTTGTTGTTCCTGCAAAGAGAAAATTAACCCAAGGATGTAAGGGCACGAGACGAGAGGCGGATCGTACGTGGAAGACGAAATCAAAAGTGACTGCCATACTCTAACGAGCATTAGGAAGCACTCGTCTCTGTTGATGGCCCTGAATCAGGACCGGCAATTCCACATTCCTGTGATGGGGGACAGTCCAATCTAAAGACAACCAATGTTACATTCAAGCAATGTGACCCCCACAGGAATGATAAGCTCAGTTCATACCTAACCAGGACTCGTACACAACAGAATGTGCTTTTAAATCATTACTTCGATGTTTATTTTACGTCACACCGTGGGTCAATCCACTGCTGGATGAAGGCCTCTCCATACCATGTCAGTTGTGTGCTATATGAAACGTTTAATCTGACTTGCAGGCCAAAATAGCATATAGAGAGGCTCTCTGGATCTGCCTCGAGTGAAGGCCCTTCCACCAGCAGTCGCGTGAGCAAGCAATTGCAGGGCTGTGCCCCTACATGTTGCCAATAATCAAAATAACATCAAGTTATAATACACAATAATCACGAGGGGCGTTGTGTAGAATAGAAATAATTTAATAGATTACCAGACGATGTCTCCTTCACTGAAAGCAATCATAACCGATGGGTAACATGTTTGTTGATTTGCCTGTATATAAATATATAAGCTCCTCATAATTTCGTTCTGTTTGTGTTTGCCAAACAGGGATTCGGTCCGCGATATGGATATTTTATTTATTTACAAACTTTTATAGTGCACCTAATTAACGATATAATATTGCAGGTTCATTTATGTAATATTATTTTTATTGTTTCTGCATTGTCGCATTCAAAAGATGTGCCAAGATATATGCAGTTTTATCCACAACATTTTCCCATTACAGTTGAAAAACTATTTCCAGTGATCACAAAGGTCAAAGCGTCTCCATTCGTGGCCCAGTCAGAGGTGTAAATCCTACATTCTGATATTACTTGCAGGAAATAATACATGTATATATTACATTAAGGTCCTTAAGATATTCTGATCTCCAACCACTCAGCACTCCCAGGTCTAGGTTGCGTTCTTTTGGCGATCGAGCTTTTGTTAGCGTGACACCCAAGCTATGGAACCGCCTTGCCACTTGAAATCAGAAAATCAGAGTCAGTAGATATATTTAAGTCTGCTTTGAAAACCCACCTTTTTAAAGTGGCCTTACCTCTTTAGTTTGGTCGGTTGCCTTGGTTCTGTTTTAATTTACTGCTTTCAATGCATTGCCCATTGGGGTCCTAGGATGGAATGCGCATTATACATTTGAAATATTATTAAAAAGGGGGTGGGGTTGATAAATAATTATTTTACTGAAATAATACACCAATTGTCTGAATGAGCGATTACCTACGAAAATAAGGTAAACTCTACCAATGTCCCACCGGCGTGTGTATTTGTCAGTGGGAGTGAGTGGTGCTGCAATTTTTAGCACACTGCACTTCCAAACCCAGCAAACCCAGTTCGATAATAATCAAGGAAACTTATTGGTTTAGTTTTGTTGGTGGGTCAGTTGGTAATGCTGTGGGAAGCAGTGGGGCAGTTGTTAGCACACAGCATCACGAACCCGGCAACCCGAGTTCAATACCCACTCACGACCAATATCGGTGATGAATATCTGAACATGTCTTGAGCCTCCCCTAGATTGACTCAGCCTTAAATGCGTACCTGGTGCGGTGTGTAAACATTTGCATTTAGGAGACATAGGCAACCGGGTGTGGTGTTGGCCACCCGCCCTGGCGTGTGCCGTTCCGGCCTTCATAGGTGCCCGCTAACAGCACTTGCCCCAACAGTCTGTTGAAGGCTATATGGGGGGATCTTTGTCTGGTTTGGTGAGTGTGATGTTTACCGTGAAAGCACTTGATTGTAAAAGCACACTTTCAAAGCAGACATTGCTAAGACTCAAGTTATATATTAAGCGTGGGAGAGAAAAATCAACACAATGCTATTATGTAGAAGTCATTGCAAGCAAATACAATTTGGATAAACAATCAAATTCTTCAAATAAAATGAAATTCCTTCCATTTTTTTTGCTTGGAATATGTAGTTAAACGTATGTGGCTCTCTCTGAAATGCACGTGTGCTTTCCTCGAATTGTATGCTACAACAGAAGCTATTTGCGAAGCCAACGGGACGTTGAACAAAACACATCTTTTCATAATGCAATCTCTTTTTAATGGGGAAAGTGCAACTCTCATTACATTGAAAACCTCACGAAATTAATTTTTCCAGGCGCTTAAGATTGTTTAAATATTGTTATATCCAACCGATTTTATTTTTTATTTTTTTGCAAATGCATATTTAGGGTTCTTAGAAAATCACTGCATTATTGAATTTTACAAACACCATATGCATTACAGGTTCTTGTTTTGAGATGTTTGTTTTCTACTCAATTTTCAGTGGATAAACATTTAACATACTACCGACAGTGCCCCTTGTCAACATCCTATGTGTCAGAGGAACTATTTTACATGTGAAAACATGAGGTCTTGGCTGAGGTTATGAAGCAGGTGCCTCTTTCTTTGCACATATTTTCGTTCGAAGATAATTCCTTTAATGCGTTAAATATTCGAGTGCTTCCATTTGCACTTACATTCAGTAGTAGTTCAACTAAGCCATCTCACAGATCAGCAAAGTTACATTTACAGTATTTATTGATATTTTTTTTGTTGGCGATATAACTTGCAAATGTCATGCTACGTACATGTATGGAAAACTCGACTGCACATTCTGTATTAATACACTGCAATACGCTGAACTTCTTGTTGTAGGTAGTAAGTGGGTAGGTAAATTGGTGGACAGATTGATTGTTAGATTGGTATGAAGGCAGATAGATAGGTAGGTGTGAAGGTCGGGAGGTAGGTAAAGGTAGGTATGTGGATTGGTATGAAGGTATGTGGTTAGATAGGTATGAAGATAGATACGTAGGTGCGTGTGTAGGTAGGTGTGTTATGTATAAACGTAGGTGGGCAGGCTGGTATGATGGTAGATAGGCAGATGCGTGGGTAGATCGGTGTGAAGGTAGGTATAAATGTAGGTTGGTGAGTTAGTATGCGATTAATTCGGAATGATATGTAGGTACACGAGTAGGTAGGTAGGAACGTATGGTAGGTCGGTGTGAAGGTGGGTAGGTAGGGAGTTATCTAGGTACAGTGAGGGAAAAAATAATTAGATCCCCTGCTGATTTTGTAAGTTTGCCCACTGACACAGAAATGATCAGTTTATAATTTTAATGGTAGGTTTATTTGAACAGTGAGAGATAGAATAACAACAACAAAAAATCCAGAAAAACGCATGTCAAAAATGTTATGAATTGATTTGCATTTTAATGAGGGAAATAAGTATTTGACCCCTCTACAAAACATGACTTAGTACTTGGTGGCAAAACCCTTGTTGGCAATCACAGAGGTCAGACGTTTCTTGTAGTTGGCCACCAGGTTTGCACACATCTCAGGAGGGATTTTGTCCCACTCCTCTTTGCAGATCTTCTCCAAGTCATTAAGGTTTCGAGGCTGACGTTTGGCAAACTCGAACCTTCAGCTCCCTCCACAGATTTTCTATGGGATTAAGGTCTGGAGACTGGCTAGGCCACTCCAGGACCTTAATGTGCTTCTTCTTGAGCCACTCCTTTGTTGCCTTGGCCGTGTGTTTTGGGTCATTGTCATGCTGGAATACTCATCCACGACCCATTTTCAATGCCCTGGCTGAGGGAAGGAGGTTCTCACCCAAGATTTGACGGTACATGGCCCCATCCATCGTCCCTTTGATGCGGTGAAGTTGTCCTGTCCCCTTAGCAGAAAAACACCCCCAAAGCATAATGTTTCCACCTCCATGTTTGACGGTGGGGATGGTGTTCTTAGGGTCATAGGCAGTATTCCTCCTCCTCCAAACACGGCGAGTTCAGTTGATGCCAAAGAGCTCCATTTTGGTCTCATCTGACCACAACACTATCACCCAGTTGTCCTCTGAATCATTCAGATATTCATTGGCAAACTTCAGACGGGCATGTATATGTGCTTTCTTGAGCAGGGGGACCTTGCGGGCGCTGCAGGATTTCAGTCCTTCACGGCGTAGTGTGTTACCAATTGTTTTCTTGGCGATTATGGTCCCAGCTGCCTTGAGATCATTGACAAGATCCTCCCGTGTAGTTCTGGGCTGATTCCTCACCGTTCTCATGATCATTGCAACTCCAAGGTGAGATCTTTCATGGAGCTCCAGGCCGAGGGAGATTGACAGTTCTTCTGTATTTCTTCCATTTGCGAATAATCGCACCACCTTCTCACCAAGCTGCTTGGCAATGGTCTTACAGCCCATTCCAGCCTTGTGGTCTAC